AGTATCTTTGCCAAGAAAACTCCAAATGGGGTTACAAGAGTTGGACACAACTGAATAACAATTACCCACATATTTTATTCTGTTCAAGCACGGTAAATATATTTGTTGGTTGTCTTTACTATTGTTACACATTTTAGAAGCCAACAATGTAGTTTGAGGGTATACGTGCCATTTCACAACACTTTTCCCCCTGGTGCAATGAACAAAGTCTCACATTCAGAATAATGTCCCTTCATATACAAATAATGTGACTACATGCATTTTGGATCATTTCTTATAGACATTATACAAAGAAGATGATATGCACATTTGGAATTTCAATTAGAACGACCATCTTCTTGTCAGGTAGGTAAAGACTTCAAATATTCTCTTTTCTTCCTTCTTTCTTTCCTTCCTTCCTTTTATTTCCCCTATTTTACTTTGTCTTGCATTAGAAAGCCTTCAGCAGACTACATGTGAGTTCACTTATTCAACTCTGGGAACCACATTTTAGGAAGAATATTGGTAAGAGAGGCGTTGAAAGGTGGGTGAGTAGGAAGATGAAGTGCATAAAGTATGCATAATGATTAGTGATAGGAGGAGGTGAGAATGTTTAACATGGAAAAGAAAAGTCTTGGAAATGGGCCAAGAAATAGGGGTATGATGTCAGTCTTCAAGTATATGGAAGACTGTCATGTGGAAAAGAGATTAAACTTGGTCTGCTCCTCTCCCCACAGGGCAGAACTAGAAAGTCCAAATTGCAAAGAGGAAAATTTCTTCACTGCAAGCAACAAAACATTTATTAAGTTTATTCTTGGTAATATTCAAACAGATGTTAGCCTATGTTTTACTGCTGCTGCTGCTGTTTTTGTTGGTTTTGCCTGTGTTTTCCTCTGGGCCTCATCCAAAGTCACACAGCTAATGTGTGTCAAAGATAAGTCTCAAACCCAGGCCTACCTGACACCAATGGAGACCCTAACTCCAACGCTTCCTCTTCAGACTGATAAAACCTCTTCAGGTTTTATCAAATGCCTCGTCACATGTGCTGAACATTGACTTGTACAATAGATAACAAATCAGGAATAAGATTCTTAGTAAAGGGTCAGGAATGCCTGTGTTTTGGAGGAAAGGATGTACTCCTCCCTTCCCTTAGTAATCTCTCTTACGGTTTCTTAGAGATAGAGTGGAAAGGAGAAAACTAACATGCAGGGATTTAGCTCTCAGACTCTGTGCCTATTGGAAGAAAAAGGTCGCCAGGGTAATTTCAGTATCTTAAAGGTAGATTAACAACTGCCAACAAGGATGCAAACTGAATAGGAGCTCAGCCCTTTGGAACTTTGTACTTGTTAAGAGAAGTAAGAAAACCCCCAATGACGATCAATTATACTCCCTCACATAGAGAATCAAAACCTGTGGGCCTCTTCCCTTCTAATAGCATCTGTATACATTTGAGAAATAAATTTTAGTTTAAATTTAACTTTAAGAAGCACTAGGATTAAAATTACTCATATTGCTAGTCTCCATTCATTACTTTCTTTTTCTGTCTTAAAACACTTCACCTTTATTCACTTCTAATTAACCCTTTAAATAAACTAGTGAAGTTTTTGTGAATCTGTATCTTTCTTTGAGATTGAAAAGTAACACTGTAGAGGATGCTACAGGATTCTCCATGGGCTAATAATATTTATGCTGTCAATAAGTACTGGGAATAAATCTAAAGACACCTTTACAGAATGGTACATAATGCCTCTTAATTACCTACTATTGTTTTATAATCCATGCAGGATCTGAAATGGGCACAAAGTGAATATTTAATAGGAATTTCATAAAATAGGATCTTCTATAAAATGGAATAATGTTTATCTACAAAATATTCCAAAGGCAAACTAAAAGTGCTGTAATGTTAAGAAGAGAGGGAAAGCCAATCATTTATTAAGCTCTTACCATGCACCAATATTTTTAAAATAAAGATGCATTCAACAGTAACAGAAAAATATCAAAATAAATTTCTCTAGCTATTACTTATATGCAATCACTAGCTCTGTGTAATTTGTGAATATATATGAAACAAAGGATGTCAATGTATGAAGTATACCAAATAAAAGAAGTCTAGTAATAGATCTGTTAATACTACTCCCATTCTCACCCAAGTTTGAAGTCTTGGGATTATCTTTGACACTTTCTTTTCTCTCATCCCTCAAAATCTTAACAGTAGCAAAACAGTCATTGATTCTCCCATTGCCATTTCTCTCATATCCATCTCCATTTGCCCATTTCCATTTCTACTATTTTTGTTGAGTCCTATATGTTATACAACTATAGTTTCCAACAACCTATCCACTACCAGTCTTTCCTCTCTCTAATGGATCCTGCATGATGTCACCACACTTATTTCCTAAAACACCATTCTTATCATGCCATTCTTCCACTCTTAAACTTTCAATTGCTCCCTATTTTTATAGGGTAAAGTTCATTCAAAACTACCTGAATATGCATAACTCCTCTACACAAACCTCTTACTGCCACCAATCTCTACATACATCCTTTGCTTCTGTAGCCTTCTTGTTTTTGTCATTGCTTTTTTTTCTACCTGAATCTACCTATCTATACCCCCTCACCATTTCTAACTGTTGAAATCAAACCCATGCTTCAATGTGCTGCTCAAAGGTCACGTTCTTTATAAAGCTTTCTCTTGTAATAGCCCTCAAGTAGAAGCAATGTTACCTTCCTCTGAATTTCTATATATTTCTTCCTGTACCATTTTTTATGACATTTAGCAATTACTGTCTTGGATTACAATTAGTTGTTTACTTATCTTAGGTTTTCCACCATCATACAATCTCAGAATTGGAAGGAATCTTGAAGGCCCTTCTAGGACAACCTGTACATAAATAAAAATCCCTTTCTACACTATCTCTGATAATGGGGCATCTAGTCTTAAATTGAAGAAATCTAGTGAAGGGGAGTCAACCACTTTCAAATAGAACCCTTTACATTTTTTAAAAATGGATTGTAATCTCCTTGAGAACAAGGACCAGATTTGCATGGCCCTCAAAACCAAGCACATTACCTTGATTATAGTAGGAACTTATTAACAGGTCTGCCAAGTTGACTCTGAAAGATTTTACTATTATATGGCCCTTAGAGATCTTGGAGGACTTGGTTGCCCCTAGTCCAGAGAAATATCCACAAATTCAACCCAGAACAAATGTAACCAAAAAGCTTCTATGAGCCCCCTATGAATATCCCAAGACCTAGAAAGAAAAAAATAGATTAAGAGACTTCTTCAAACTTTTAAGGACTTTAAAGTTGTTTCCTTGCTTATATGGGAGCCAGCTGTAAGAAAATCTCAACATGAGCTAGCAGACATGTGTTTGGATCATATATTAGAGGGAATATGACCAAATGGATAGAATCTCTTACGTCATTTGACACTGTACTGCTTCAATCATGTATGCACTTAATTAACTTAAAGTTAATTCCACTGTTCTTTTCAATAAGTTGTTTAACTTGAACAGCATATAAACACCATCATTACCGCAAACCACCAATTTTACTGTTTGGTATATGATGTAACTGGCAAATGGATGTCCATACCCCTTAAAAAAAAATAATACTCAAGTTCCAATTTCTAACCACACAACTTTGTACTATCTGTAAAAAAGAACATCCATGGAAGAAGTGGATAATGTTAAATTAACTTCACTCATTCATTTAATTAAGCTTTGCTTTAATCAAGGCAATCAATCTCCCTGTAAGCTTTGCAATAAAATTCATAGATATCTTGGTGATTTCAGTTACCCTAGTTTCACATAGCACTACTCTCCTCCATTGCTGCCCAGTCAGCAGGAAACTCCTATTGTTGATGCATTTTTTTTTAAAAATCTCACTGCTGAACACCCTTTTTGGAAGTAGTTTTGTCAGGACTGACCTTTAAAGCTCCAGTTACCCACTGCTGATTCAGATGTTAGAACAGCAACTCTAGAGATATTGTATCCAAACATCATTGACTTTCTGGTACCCACTAAAAACAAATGCTCATGTATCCTCAGAAATAAATTCCCAAAGCCAATCTCAACATTCTCTTTTCCCTAGCTTACTGACTGAACTGATAACAATATTCCTACAGCCTCCCACTGCTTTCGACCTCACTGCCATTACATCTTCAAAGGCTTGCAGCATGTGCTCTTTCTATTCAATCACATTTATTCAAACATTCCTTAAAAATCCCTTCCTCATTTTTTCCTCTTTGAAATTCACAATTTGGATTAACCTGAAAAAATATTGTAGGCTGAGTGCCCACACTAACTTTCCAGAAAAACACTTTTCCCCCTAGAAAAACTTTTGAAATAGAGTTGTTTAAAGGGCCTGTTTACTCATGCTTTTGGCTGCCAATAAGCAAATGCTAATGCTTGGAGAAACTGGATATGGTTTCATCATTCAGAGCTTGGTCTATTAAAATGCAGTAACTTGAACAAACATGCCCCAGAAAGAAAGCAGGATTTTGTCTTTTTAGTTTATTCTTTTGTTCTTCATTCCAAAGATAATAAAATGGTCACAATATGTACATTAAAAGTACAGCAGCTTTTTTTTCAAATGTCTAGGGTCACCGCCCCCTCCAGTTTCCCTTGATATAAATTAAAATGTAAACAAGGATAATATGTTGGTTATTCTACTTGTTATGGGGTGATAATCATACAGGGGGTAGTATGCAAGACTATGACCTGATCTGCCACCAAAATCATTCCAAGAAAATACATGCAGGGGTTGAAAACTTTAAACTATACATTTATTAGAGATACCAATTCTATTACAATGACAATAAAGCTTGCTGAGGATCACCTGTTTCAGGGCAATAAAACATATCAGAGTAAGAATAAACCTGTAGTATAACTCATATCCTATAACCATTCAAATGTGTTTTCCTAGGAAATGGTTATATGAAACTAAAGTTTCTTAAAACAAACTGAGCTGTAATATTGTAGCATAGTAAAACAAAGTAATATATGAAGTGCTTTTACCTTTGCATTATAGGGAATATAGTGTTTCGATAAAGCCTCAGGAGTATGCATCCATGTTTTATCTGTAATGAAGAACAGCAGCATTTGATTAAACATATATTCATTCTCGCATTCATATATTTATAATTAGTAAAGCAGCGTGATGAGCATGGTTGCCCAAGTTAAATTATATACAAAGAAATACAAATACAGACCTAGAAGGAATCTCAAAGATCATGTAGCTCAATTCCCCCATTTTATAGATGACAAAAACTTTAGATTAAAGAGGTTAAAAGACTTGTTCAAATTCACACTCGTAGGGTCAGAGGCAAAATTTGAACACCAGTCCTCTGATTCTAGAACCAGTAAACACATTTAATTACTCAAAATGTATAGTTGAAGGACGGCCTCTTTATTGAAGTTTTGCTTTTTTGTGTGAAATGTTGAAAAAAAGAAATGTCTAAGTAGTTCCTGAGATACATGACTAATTTCCAGAGATCCTTCACAAGAATATAGCATCTATCTCCGTAACTCCGTTGTACCTTCAGAGAAGCAGAAACTTTCTTTCCCCATTCCTACTGAAGACTGAGCTATATAATTGTAATTGTACTGGCTTTTATTTACAGCTCTACCTTCACTCTTGGGCTTCCCCCCTCCCCTACTGACTTCCTTGGGTGAAAAAAGTAGCATGATAGAAAGAAGGGAGTCAAGCACTCTGGGTCTATCCTGGATAATGAAGAAGTCAATCTCAGCCTCCCAAGTTACTAATACTATTGGGCAGGGCCTTTCTGCATGTCCCCTGGAAGGCTAAGAAGGAAATGGGGAAGCTGATTGGACAATTTGAGATAGGCAAGTTCTGAGGTTCTTGAAATCTATGGGGCACTTAGAGGAGACCTCCACTTGCACTCCAAAGAATGCCAAAGATACCTTTTAGTGTGAAGCTTATTAAAACTGAAACTTTTTTTCTTATTTACTTTTCAATTCCAGATTGGAGCTCAGAATAGCTTTCCTCCCAAACACAGTTAGCTATGGTGGTAAACTTATACATTTCCAAGGATATGAGAGTTAAAAAAGATTTTATGGGTTGGTACAGGAACATAACACCGTGTATGACATTACTGCTATAGAGAATTGAGTTCCTGTTTCCATATAAATGGGCGAGGACCCTTCCTTATCTAAACTTGCATTTCCCCCAGAAATATGTTCTGAAGAAAATGGCACTTGATAGTGATGGCTGAATTGTTACTAATGAGAGCAACAACTAATATTCATGTAGTATTTTAATAAATGGTAGAGGTAGGATTTGGAACCCAGGGCTTACATGATCCCAAGCTCATAACTCTACCCAGAAAAGAATAAGGGTAAGTGGTAGGAAGGAGATGGATAAAAATTGAGAAGAAGGAAGGAAGGAAGAAATTGAGGAATGGAAGGTTGGAATGATTTGTCTGAACTGTAGCCTGGTAGATAATTGTCTAATTGGATTTTTTTCATGGCTACCAATAGATGGGGCAAATATCTAATTGCGTTAGACTAATCATATCAGCTAAGTAATTTAAACAATTTTCATCCTCTGAATATGTCACAGATTTTTTTAAATGATGCCCCAATACACAAGAAATACACATTACTGTTATTTCTACCCCACTGTGAATTAGATTATGCATTGACAGCATGACTTAATTGCTTGGTGAAATCAAAACTTTAAAACTGTTTAAAAAAAACAACAACAATGCATTCATGTAAAGTCTAAACTGAGAAATTAATACTGTGCAAACATTTAGAAACTGACAAAACTATTGTAAGGAAAACATCCTCAATTTAGGCCTTATCTATGTGCTGGTATATAAATGATTTAAATATGATAATAAGTTCAAATTTTCTTTAAAAATGACAAACATTAGCAATTAAAGTTATTACAGAGCCATAAGAATAAGAAGACTGAGGCCAACTTTATACTTGAGATCAGAGGATTAAATATTCAGAGCTAGAAGGATCCTAAGAGGTCACTTAGTCCATTCTCTCATTTTATAGACAAAGAAACTGAGGCTCTAAGAAGTCAATGAATTGCTCAAAGTCATTAGAACAGGGAGTAATTATGATTTCATCACTGTAGTTAGTGCCTTTTCAAAAGTTCTCTAGTCCTTAACAATTTTGTAAGTCCCTGTGGCTAAAGAAAGCAAAGCAAAGAAGTCAGTAAGCATTTACTAAGCACTTACTACGGGGCAGGCACAATGCTAAGTTCTGGGGATACAAAGAAAGGCAAAAGACGATCCCTAAATTGAGGAGCAAAACAAAACAAAAACAGAAAAAAGACAATTTGTGTCTGTCTTGGTGATAAACCAACTTCACACTCAGCTTGTCCGGGTACTCTGAGAAGTATTTTATTGAGTGACTCCGACGTTCCAGGCAATTCAGTAGGCTCTGGAGATATAGTAACAAAAGTGAGTCTTTGTGCCCTAGAAGCACAGGGCAATCAACTAATTTCAATGGATATGCTTCAATGACAAAATTATGAGAATTCAGGATCCTCTCCTCGACACTAAGACTTCTAAGATTAAGATGCCTTGCAGAACTGGAGAACATATGCTGTATTTTGGTACAAATACTATGTATCTCCTTCATTTTAGTCTGATTTGTTAAATGATAACTTTGATGCAAGTAAAATAAGTGCTAATTAATACGTTCTTTTTATCTTAAAAATGAACAATGAAATAATTTTGCCACAATACTCATTCTCAATATAGTGAACTCTGGAGACAGAGCTGTGGTGGTAAAGTAAAAAGTGCACTGGACTATTGGCCATAACAAGTCAATCAACCACCCTAGGACTCAGTTTTCTCTTTTATAAAATGGAGTTAGTAATACCTGACTACCATAGCTCACAGAGTTATAGTAAGGAATGGATTTTTAACCTGTAAAGAGCCATATAAATGAGCTATTATTGCTGTTTTGTAATGCTCTCTCTCCTCATCTGTGTTTTCCTGACTTCCTTCAAAACTACCTTCACATCCCACCTTCTAAAGAAGGTCTTTCCCAATTCTCCTATCTGCTACTGCCTTCTTGTTTGAGATCACCTTCTATCTACATGGAGTATGTTAAGTAGGTAACTGGTTATTTCCATGTTGTCTCCTCTCATTAGAATGGGAGGTCCTTCATGGCAAGGACTCTTTACATGTCTTTGATTCATATGTCTTTGTTTCCCCAGAGCTTACATGACAAGTGCTTACTGAATGTTTATTGACTGATTTGATTGATTAAAACACAATATGAAACAGATACCCTAAAAACTGCTGTTTAATGAATATCTCATGAGCTTCAAAAAGGAATAATACTTAACAAGTAGTAACCATATACACGGATTGTTTTTTTTTCCAAAAAATACAAATAATTAGTCAGATTTTAATGATGCATGCTCATGGGAGGAAATAACAGACTCAATAATTCAAAATTAATTTTTATTTACTTTTGAATTTGTTTTACACTTAAGTAAATATTTGGGACTTGGGCTTCCAATGAGTCATAACAATTCAAACAAAATACACAGTGAAAGACTTGATCTGGGAGGTGTTAGGAATCTATTTTGTTTCTCCAGGTATTTCACCCCTCTTCCTCTCCTCCCTCAGAGGAACAATGTTGCCCCCTCAGAGTTGTAATAAGTATTACTAGCCTCTCTGTATTTGACAGTTTATATTATTTTTGGGGAAAGAAGATAATTTATGTCCTTCCAACTTCCAAGTTATTGAGAATTGATTGTTTTTATTTTTAAAATAAAAAAAGTTATTTTGGTGAAACTATCATAAATCTGCTACCAATAAGGATAGTATGTAGGTATTAAAAAGGCATTGCTTCATGATGACTTGCTGATGCAAAAAAATTACCTTACTACCTCATTAGAGACGGTCAGATTACCATGGATACCTAGGAAGGGACCTAGATATCTACCTACACAGCCATGTGGAAGGCTGGGCCAAAAACAGATCACAATGCTCCCCTAAACTATTGAATAAATGGATTAGTTATATATTCAGCAAATAGAAGGTACCAAACTCACATTCCGTTGTTCAGTTCTAATACCTCCATTGCAGATGTCAACTTCACAACTGGAACAGCCACAAAAGGTACTTAAAAAAATAACTATTCCTAAAATAAATCTTTACTGTAACCCTATCTTAGGTATGTTCTAAAGTAATAGGAGCTTAAACAATAATTCTGGAATGCTAAAAATTAAAATAAAATGCCCAAGAATGAGAAAAAATTAAGATTTTCTTTCCCTAGTGATTTTTTTCCTTGACATTTTAGTACTCCTTAATATACTAGCACCATCTCTTAGAAACAAAGAACCAGTACAGACAGGGATAATGTGAGGTTTCTTATCTTCATTCTTCAATGTCTGACTGTCTTTATAATATTCAATATAGAAAGGTTTTTCTTCTAATCTTAACTTTTATAGAAAGACATTCCAAAACCTTGCTATGTGCGTTCTGGCACCCAACAACCTTGAGAATCTGAGGGAGGGGGAAGATTGGTTTGTAAAAACATCACCAATTTGAATGAAAAAAAAAATCCATGAAATAACATCTTCATATTGAATTTTTAAATTGCTAAAACATACAAAAACCCCTCTCTATTTGACAGCTGATGGGTTAAAAGAGAATAAAAAGCACAATTCATTCCACCAATCTAGCTCTATTTATTTGGGTGTTGTGCTTAATGGTTTGCTATTAGATAATTCATTTTTGATGTAATGAACAGAATACATGACTTAAAAACACAATCAGAAAGATAAATAGCTATTAAAGCTGAAGCTACACAACAACCAAATGCATTAAATTTTAACATACATTTATTTGTTAACATAAAGTAATTTAACAGATTTTTTCAAAGTTTTCAAAATGAATCAGTAGTAATATATGTAATGCTTTTTAGTGTAGCATTTGGTTAAGAAAAAAAATTAAGTACCTGGCAACATCAATTAAGGAGAGGTTTAATGGCGTAACAAATTACATGACCAAAACACCAACTGAGGCATTTGATAGACTATATTAACAATTATCTTACAGATTAGGTGGCCTTTCTCTTTCAATTTAAATATACTACATTATTTAGCAATAAATGCATTATATTGTTAAGTAAGGAAATTAGAAATATATTAAATGGCCATCCAGTATTGGAAGCAAGACCATTCTACTTTGCAAATGAGAAGTTTGCACAAACTATATGCTTATAACATTCACTGAAAAGAACATTAATTATATTCTCTAGGGGTATAATTATGGCTTCAGATAACCAGCATGTATTAATTCTCTAGTAATGTGAAAAGCAAAGGTATTTAAATAGATTCTCCCTCTCAAGTTAGAGTTAAATCAGACTTTTATTGGTTTAACCAGAAACTGAAGGATATTAAATATTTCAATTCATTTCAGATTCAGATTCTTTGCTAGAACTAGCAGAGTTCATTGATAACCCTAAGGTTAAACTTCTAGTTAAAGACCAAATTCATCACACAGCAAGTTGTTCAACGACTTCCTCAAGAGAGCCTTTAATACTTAGTAATGATGTTTACCTCAGAGTGGGGAGAATGAGAGAAATCAGGGAATGCACACATACACACTAAAACAAGGAATGAATTTGTTTTTAAGTAATACCATATGATTTCTAGTCTCCTTATCTTCCTCTCTTGGAGAGAGAAACCAAGATTGTACATATAATAAATATGTATGAATAGTAACTTTAAAGGGCTCAATTTCTGAGAATGTGTACAATGAAAGGTTCTAATGAGCCTTTAACATAATACTCTAACCTTTAACATAACACTTTAATGAGAGTTATGCAAGATATAATTCCTTTTAGGAAATGGAATTTAATTTATATCTCTATATTGGGCAGGCCCTGAAATACCTATTTCCCATTTCCCTCACATACAGAAAGTCAAACAGTAATAGCTAGTGTCCATAGGAACTCCATCTTTATTTTGCCAACTACTGCTTAGTACAATTACTTTCTCCCCCTTCTGCCTCCCCTTACTCCCTCGAGGCAGGACAGTGTAGAGGGTGACCATTAAATCTAAAGTCAGAAAACATAACTCTGCTTTTGTGACCAAATGCAAGTCACTTAACCTGTCTGGGACTCGGTTTTCTCATTTCTAAAATGAGAAGGCTGGACAAGAAAATCTCTAAGACATCTTCCAGCTCGAAATCTTATGGCCCTAACAATTCTCACCCCACTCCTAGACCAGTTGAGGGTGGGGTCTAGATGTCTGTGGCAGGGCTAGTAGTGACTGAGGGTTACAAGGAAGAAGAAGATGAGAAGGCAGCTGTGCAATATTGCTATTGTTTTCCTAGCTTAAACACAGCTTCACTGCTAAGTCATCACTCTCCTCTAGCTTCACAGAGGACACATTTTACTGTTTATCTGGGGTCCCTGCCCCTACCTTAACTCCCATGACCTAAGCCCAGAAAGGCTAAACTGTTTTTCTTCAGAAATGTAAATTAGTCTTACTTCAGTCCTTTCTTTAAAAAAAAAAAAAACCACCATTTAACACTAATAGATGACTGTTTCTCAGTGGTCTAAAATGGGAGGGGGGTTGGGGAGGGGAAGAAATTCAAGAGAGCAAGAGGGAAACAGGAAAGAGTTCTTTTAAATCCTGTTAGTTTTTCCTTTTTGCTAATGGTAAGTTAGGGGCTGGAGGAAAGTTTGATGGATGGCCTCTTATGGAAAGCCTTTAAAAACAAAAAAACAAAACCTAACTCTATGTGAACTGAATCTGGTTCCTGTTCCATAATAGGACAGGGAAGAAAAGACAGCCTGGTCAGAAGCCACGGTGGTGGCAGACCAATCTGGGATGGGGAGATGTGATCCTATACTAAATGAATTTTCCCATGAAAACTTTGTTAAACATGGTCAGTGAAGTCTTCAGATAAGTTGTGGATTTTTGTGGGATGTTCTAGAATTTACCTACCACATCCATAAATTAATTCCATGGAAAAATCCATCACAAGTTACAAATAACTGCCTACCACTCACACACACATACTTTTAGAAGACAACCTGTTTATGTACTAGAGTGTTTCCATTTGTTCATGATATAAATACTATCTGAACAGTAGTTTAGCAAAGTGCTTCCAAAACTATAAAACACTATGTAAATGTGAACTATTGTTATACTTAAATCCTTACTCTGACCATAGTAATCAGTAAATTAAGATTTCTTTTAAATCCATAACTGAAAGTCAATAGTAAAATTGACTTGGCTTTACTACTCTGGTCTAAATAATATTTTGTCACAATACAAAACGTTATTTGCTATATTAGGTACTTCCCCATCTTTTATTTCTTCACTGAAATCTGATGATTTGAATAAAATGACTCACTTTTAAAGGGATTTCTAAGATAAAGAACATTTTTTTTAATGGTCTGATTTGTAGTGGAAAAATACTGGCTCTGCAGTCAAAAGATCTGGTTTTAATCCCACCTCTGATGCTTAATACTTGGGGAGAGGGAAGAAAAAAGGGGGGAAAATAAACTTACATTATAATTTTATTATGTATTTAAAAGGAATAGCAAGTTGTACATAATAGATTTTCAGTTTCACATACAATCATATTTTTTTTCTTTTCTACCAAATTATGAAAATGCTTGTTTTATTTCTTAGGTTCAGAACAAAATAAATTAAATTTAAAAAAAAAAGAAAAGACTTTGGGCAAGTTGCTAAACCTCCCTGGCCTCCAGTATCTTCATTTGTAAACTGAAGGAACTGAACTGGGAGGTCCCTTCCAGTTCTAAATCCATGACCCTCTGTTCCTGTGATTTTCAAAATCAGTCAATAAACATTTAATTGCCTACCATGTGACAGGCTTAGTGCTAAGTGCTGAAATATTTTGATATTCTTTTAATTCCAGGGTCTTCTGAATATAGTCTATTTAATCTGTGTAAATCACAGAAGATATCCTCCCAAGGATTGCTACTTGATTTTCTTTTCTTTCTCTTTCCTTTTAAAATGTATTATTGATTTCTGGGATCAGGATACATTATGGGTCTAAACAAATTGCAGCATATAACCTATGATGACATACACACAAGGGTAGCTTAAGACAGAACATTAAGGATATGTAATAAGAATGAGAGATAATAGACAAGTATTACATATGTTGCACTAGTATTTGGGATTATTTTTTATTTTATTTTTTTAATTTTTATTTATTTTTTATTTTGGGAATTATCAACCATCTCTGGGTGACTTAAATAAAGACAAAGTCAGGAATCATGCCAAATGACAGTGGTGGAGTACTCTCATGTATGAAAGGTTGTTGTTTGTCCTTTGTTCTCAAAAAGAATAACTGACATCAGGAATGAGAAGTCATTAATTGCAAATGAATTGGATTTAAGTGAGGGAGGGCTGGAGCCATCTGGATCCAGGGGCAAGATATTATAGATCAGCATGACTAGAGATGGCCCTGGATGCAATGGGAGACCTTGGCCTTTTTAAGTTAAGGTCTTTCCCAGGTCTCAATTTGACTGAGGCAATGCCCATTGAGTGATTAAGGTCAGGTAAAGAAATGAAGCAAAGAATGGCCTCTTTTACCCAGTCCAAAAAAAAGAAATCTGGAAGGGAAGACCCTACATTGAAAGACCAATTGATATATGAGAAGCAACTTTAGTAAACAGCTTTTGGAAATATCCTGCTTGTATTTCCATGTAGGAAATAAGAAAATTAGGGAAGTTTTCTGTGATAGAGGTAGCATCTAAAATTAAAATACCAATACCTCACAATTAGACATTTTCAAAAATTTAAAATCTATTGTCCTGAACTTTCAACCTCAGTAATATTTAACTTGCTTTGCTTCTCTTTAAGTGACGTTCATTTCTTCCCTTCTTTACCTCCTCAACTATTCTCAGTCAACTTCCTGTAGCACACTCTTACAGAAAAGAATTATTTAAAAAGGGGATGGCAATTGTAATGCTAGATTCTTCAGCTTGTCAACTTGGCTTGTCACCATATTTCTCAGAAAAAGATGTGATGGTGAGATTATCTGGACAATTAGGTGTTGGGGGTAGTGGCAAAACTAATAGATATGGACAGAAAAGTAACAAAAGGGAAATTGGGCAGAATCCAGAACTTTCTTTTGATTCTCTAGAGGAGACTTAAGAAATGTCTAATTTTTCTTTAGACTACCAACTTACAAACTTTGGCCTTATAACAGCCACAGATTGAGTATAAACTCTTGAGCCTTTTCTTACTACAGACACTGCACACAAAGCAGGAAATTTGGAAAATGTACAGATTCTTATTTCCTGTTATTATGTAGAGGCTGATACAATTTTAAAGCTGAAATAGAGATTACTTAGTCTTACTTCTAGTATTAAATATTAATTCTTGGGTCAACTAGAAGTCTCTTAATTCAGCTTTAATAACAATTATAATAACAACAGTAACAAAAGCAACTATTATTTATCCCTTCATGTCACTTACCTTTCTTTCTACTAAAAGCACGGTTCATGATGATGAGGCACAGTCAAATAAATTTTTGATTTTGCTGCACTTTACCCTAAAAAGCAAAAGAAGAAAAAAGGCAGGATATAATCACTAAAACATTAATATATCATTGATATGGATAAAATAAATTTGATTTTCAAGTATTTTCATCACATAAAAAACAAGTCTGTTTATTTCTTATTCTACTGCTCCAAGACCAAGAGATTCTGGCTGAGTTCAATTACCAGTGACCAAGCTGACAGAGAGCAGAATCATCTAACCACAAACCTTCACAAGCTGCTCAGTTTTTTAAATCCCCAAATCCTGTGATAAAAACACTATGACACAATCTAACACCAAATCTATGAACAGATAAGACATGACTTCTTTCCTGCTAGATTTTTATTCATGGGAGGTATTTTAAGAGAGAGTTATGTTGACAATAATCTTCGGTGAAAAGAAGATACTTTGATTTATTTATACAAATGTCAATAAAGTACCTTTTAGGGACACAAAAGTCAGAATAACAAGGGTCAGCAGTCCCTTTTTCATAATTGACTGAAAACTACAGAATTGTGAAACATTCGAAAAGACAGGGCCAAAAGTACACCATTTTACAATGTTTTCACATACACAAAGTGATCCACAGCATGTGCCTGGGGGTGGGGGCTTTCTGGCACAACTCCAGAGTACACAGCAACTTTCCTCTGGAACTTAAAAGTAAATTCTAACTATGTCACTGTGAGGTTGTTATAGCAACCTTACAATAGGGATTGGTACTAGACCTGTGGTTTCCTTAGTGTAAAGAATTCCCAGATAAGGAAACTCCCTCTACCAATTCAAATTTACACTTTCTCGGCAACTGCCAGCTTTAGAGAGCTGCCTAGAGCACAAAGAGGTTAAATAACTTCCCCAAGATCACACAGTCATTATGTATTAGGGGCAGAACTGGAAGGTTCATCTTCCTGCCTTCAGGACCAGTCTCCATCCATTACACAACACTGCCTCCCCTTTATCTTATCCTACAACCAAGCATGTCTCTTGTTTGCAGAAAAAAAGCAGAAAAAATTGAAATGACTTAAAGTTTTGTTTTGGTTGCTCAGTCCTGTCTGACTCTTTGTGATTCTGTTTAGAGTTTTCTTGGCAGAGATACTGGAGTGGTTTGCCATTTCCTTCTCTAGCTCATTTTACAGATGAGGAAACTGAGGCTAGCAGGGTTAAGTGACTTTCCCAGGGCCACAAAGCTAATAAGTATCTGAAGCCAGATTGGAACTCAAGAAGGTGATTCTTCCTGACTCCAGGTCCAGCACTCTCTCCCCTGTGCCACCTAGCTGACCCCAATTTAAGTTTTAGAATACAGAATAAAGAATCACAAACCATTTAAGCTATCATATGTCTAAAAAATAATGCAGTTCAACTTCCTCCTTTTACTGATAAAGAAATTAAGGCAATGCTAGTTATAGTTAGTAGCAGAACCACCTTATACATGACATCACAAGTATTATAAATAATTTAGCATTCTCATGTTTTTTTTCCCTATTCTGAGAACTCTGTGCACACACACACACACACACACACACACACACACACACACACA